TAAGCAAATAGTTTCTCTCGATACAGTACAATTTCTATATAAAACATTTTTTTTAAAGATTACACATTTTAGAAGTTATTCGGGGTGGACAAGTTATGACTCACCCTGTATAGAGGGCAGGGCAAAAAAAAGTAACGATAAGATATATCCGAAAGTAACAATAATTGTTTGGTGATCTTCATTGATCTCGAATGACCTTTAATGATAACATCCTATAATCGCCATAACCGCTGCTGTCACATAGCGACAAAAAAAAAATAGCATCCCATTTAAAAAACTAGAGATTTCCTTAAAATCTTCTCTACCCCTCCACCCACGTAAAAGGTATTTGCATCACATTATGCCCTCCATATCATACAAGTTTATCATACAAATAATAAAAATATCCCAGGTGGATAAAATTTTTGCCCCACCCTGTATATTCATGAAAATGTTATTCCTATGAATAATTCTTTTTTCCATTTTACTCAAGAGGATTTTGACTTTGAAAGTAATGTCGAATGCAGAAAATTGTTTGTAGAACGTGTATATAATTTATAAGTAACTGTTTGCACAAATATGTGCAAAAAATATCATCACATTTATTAAAGTTTACATATTAATTTTTCACGCGTGATTTATTTGAAATGTCAAGTAAACAGTGTTAGCGCAATTTGTAACTCGTTTCCTAGATATGCTTGATTTTGGTATACATTTTTGGGTACGGACCCCATTGCGCCCCATTTCTAGAAGGCCTTGCTACTTCCCTGGGACGTCCAGTTTACGTCTAGGTTTCCCCACCGCGGAACCCCCGTGCGAGGGTGGGGAGGCTTGCCATCGCGCGGCCTAGGCACTGTATACATTGCCCATGGTGAGTAGGCAAAGTGTTAATAGAGTTGTAACTCTGGAATCACAATAACATCATCGTTCATTGTGCAATGCTATAATCTCCAATGATTACAGTGTCAGCTGAGATGGAGTCGGAAGCAGTCGTTTCTCACGCTGCCAGTATGGGAACTCGGTTTTATGATGAACTTAACCCTCGGACAGCGAATAGTTTGATCCAGAGTAATAGTATACGCTCTTACACACATGTTGGAAGGAAATTTTAAGTTGTATTTTTAATTGTTGTCATGAGAATTATTACAGTTCTGAACTATTTGGAAAAAAATTCAGTTCTAAAAGGAGTTTCATAAAATATTTTATTTTAAAAAATAGAAGCCTATGTATAGGGTGTTTGATAATAATTGGTAGAAAATTTAAAGAGTTATTCTACAAGCTGAAATAAAAAGAAACTGAAGAATAAAAAAAATTGCGTTTGAGGCTTCACAACTTTTAGATATTAACAATTAAAAATGCCCCTGCCGTCCAGCAAACCTCCTGAAACCTGCCAATACAGAGCAGGTCAAGACACGGGGAGAGTAGTGATTCTCAAAACAAAACCAAATGGCCGACAGATTACGTTGTACAAGTGGTAGAGAAGAACGACCCTGCGATATTTTATAATAATGAAAGCAAATTAAACAATACTTATTGCAATAAATGCAACGTCAATGGGCAGATGTTTTCACAAATGGTGAGAATTTCATTCGTATTTTTCATCTAAGAAAATTTCCGAGAGTTCAGTAAAAGCACAGGCGTTATTCTATATAATTCTTAATTCTTACAAACTGAATCAGTGTTGCTAATTTAATTTAGCAAGAAATTTAATTCGTTATTTTAAACTCAAAGGGAGGTTCTCATTTGCATAGTAGAAGACATGAAATTTATTTTTCACATATTTATATCTTTTACGCTTTCAAAGTATGCTTGTAAAAAGCTTCTCCAAATTTGATAAATAAAAGAAGTTATGAAAGCTCTTGGATGAAACCAAAAAATTGCCATCACAAAGTTCAACTGAAATTTTCCTGAAACCGTGTTTTCAAGCTGTCACGTGATATTGTCTCTTCAGCAAAACACCCAATGGAACATTAGACTTTTTGGAAGAAAAAAAGAAAAGAAAGTATTTAAAAGTAGATAAGTCCAGTACGAAATTACAAAAAGTAATATCTTTCCTCAGCGATAAATTAAAGAGACATAATGAGAACGCGTTTATAACCTGTTAAAAATGTAACTTCTCTGTTTATTTGAAATAAATTCACATTGAATTTAACGATGGAAATTAATACATTGAACTAAATGTATGCACGATATGAATCAATTTCTGCATTCATTATACGTTAAGTTAAATCAAATGATACTCGTGCTATGCCAGAGTGAAAAATTCTTTCAATAATTCTCAATTAATTTTAATGCAAATGAACGACCAACGACTTTTGACAAAAAAAAAAAGCGTACACTCTCCAGCTCATTTGCCGGGGGCGAAGATTTCGTCGATTCGTGGATTCGATACATAGTATGTATAACTGAACGTTCGTGGTGGGCACGCAAATAAACAGAGTCGAATTTATAGAACTGGAAACTACGTATGTACGCGCCGTCGGTTATTCCTCTCCGAGAATCTGATGTTCTTCGACCAGGACGGTTCATCGATGTTCTTTCCATCGGTGGTTCATTTGTGAATTCGAAATGTGAAGTGGATATTAATATTCATTGGATAATTTCCAAGATTTTTAAATAAGTTTCAAGTTACATTACCTACTTCCTGGATTCGGCAAATATGACTAGCAAGCGTAGAATATAATTGGTAAGAAAATTCATTTTATTTGTTTTTTCAAGAAGTACGCTTTTTGTAATAATAAGTCTGTATTAAGTTTATAGTCGATGATCGATGTATAAAAATAACGTGTTTCTAATTGACGGCTGGAATGATTGATTAAGAACAAAAGTATAGTCGCCGCAGATATATAACACGGTGCTTGAAAAATTCGGGTGCTCGTAAATTAACGCGGCGTGTGGCGACACCGTTTGATACAGCGCCACGCAGGGGCGTATGCGTTCTGCAGTTTTAGGGTTCCGTTTAAAAAACCGAAAAGATTGTGTTTAATATTTGGAATATTTGAAAGAATTTTCACTTTTCAGAGTACATTGTGTAAGGTAAAAACGGTCAGGATAACGGTGGCGAGCGGTTGAATAAGACTAAACGTGGGCGGTTAAACAGGGTGAATCCTTGTATTTTGAACTATACTGCACGAGTGCTGATACAATTCTGTCCTTCCTGAAAAACCTAGTCAAGAGGACCCCCTTGCCAATATGGCCTTTCTTAGCCTTGAGGCAAAACTATCCCTAGGAGGGGGAAACGCAGCAGAAGACTGCACATGGCCCACTCAAGCCTTCGCTTTTTGGACTTTTCTAACAATTGAAATGGCAAAATCGATTGCACATTGACATTGTATTAGATTTATGCAAAAGATTCCATCGTTTGTAAATCAATGGTACTTTTCTTTTATAAATTTTCACGGCAGTAAGTATATAGTATTGATATTTTTTTTTCAAAAAATAAATACACATTCTCCAGGAATACACGATGGGAACTTTTGCACAGACCTAATATTGTACCGAACGACAGTTCAAACTCTTTATCTCCTTCAACGCCTGAATGGCTGTTCTGACACCCGAAACGAGTGTGTTTTGCCACCCGACTTTTTCAAGGTCCACGCTATGTGTATATCGGCGGAGACTATAATTGAGAAGGCATGTTCGAGGTCACGTATCTGTGCAGTAAAATATACTATTTTCGTGGAAAAATAAAAGATTCTAAATTTGTGATTTTAATTTGATCTGTATTTTTGAAATAAAACTGTGCTACTTTCTAAACAGTCTTATTGAAATTTTCTTCATTAAATATTGAATAAAATCTTCAATAGTAATTTGATCTTTGAAATTATTACGTGTATGTGTAAAACAATTTAGAAAGATCTATAATGATACGTATAGATTCAAACTTTGAGTATAATTGGCGGAAGAGCCGTGGCTTGGTCGTAAAATCACACAGGCGTGAGAAAACATGAAATCCGATCGCCGTAACATCAGTTAGGGTGAGATAAGAAGCTCGAGCCTCTTTCAGGCCCGTATGAAGACAATTCGGCACCGATTCTTCAATTACAGTGTAGAAAACTTGAGTGTCTTTTTACACGGTGGATGTGGATCCATAAAAATGGATTTGCAGCAAAGCAAAGAGCAATTTAAAACACATAGATGCATTCAATGAAAATATTTTATTCGAGAAATATAGAAAAGAAGAGTTAATGTGTCAATCAATGTGAATATTCTTCAGGATGGATTTGAAATATTCGTACAGTAAGTTCAAGTAAGTAGAACGTGTTAAAAAATCGTGTAAAGGCTAATCGTGCAAAAAAATACCGTACAAAAAGAGACTCAGGTGTACTTAACAAATTTTATATAGCATACGGTTTAGAAAATTTTAGATTTAGAAATATTAATTTAAAAGTGAAATATTTTCTAAAAAAAAAAAAAAGTGTCAAGATCCTAAATGATAAAAACAAGAAAAGGTATACTGATTCAAAGATCTGTACTGAT